TAGCTTTTCAGTAGCGAAGCTATTTTTTAGGCAAATAGCGCAGTAGCGTCCACACAAGCTACATTTACCGATTGCGGATCAATAAGTGACAGCACTGACATTCACAGAGTAGTGAGGCCGGTGTCAAGCCGATGAAAATAAAGCCATATGACGGCGAGAATGATGATTTCTTCTACCTGTTTTCGGTAGACGACAACAACCTTTTTGGTGCGATACTGCCACCGCTCGCTCTAGTAGGTGATGTCGCCAACCATACTATATATAGTTTACTGTAGTAAAGGCTAAAGTATACTATGGTAACTACTATTAGTTCATTAGTTACTAATTAGTTACTAATAATACTACATTATGTAGTGTAACTTATTAATGAAGAGTTTTAAATAATACTCATTCCTAAATATTCCCCTTTACTATGAATTACTCTAGTATTTTAAAAGTGTAACACCTGGCTTTATTGAATTCTTTAGCTTTTGCTGTTATATTCTATAATTTGTTTCGGTTTGGTACAGCAAATTATTATCAGTAAATAATATATAATGTTTATAATGATCAGTTTTACAGTTTTAATGATCACTAAAAAATGATTAACTTGGGTTTAAGTTGATTTGATTTAAAAATAAAAAATGCAAAAATAGCTAGATGTACAGTATATATTTTTTATTGCAAATGCCACAAAAATCACCCTGCACAGCAAACTTAAATTTAGATTTTGTAACAACAGTAAACTATTTTTTTTGTTATAAGGTCTGGTTTTGTAGTGGCTGTACTTTAAAATTAAATTAATATAATCTTAATTCAAGTGATGAAAGATTTTGAAATTCTAACAGTAACAGTGCTACTGTAAGCTTACACCTGCTTGGTATAAATGCTTGAAAAAGATTTAGTTGAAAATATCCATTAGAAACTTAAAAGTAATCAAAAAGTATTCAGATGTAAACAGTTACTTTACTTTTATTAAGTAATTGAAAAGTTACACTATTTATTGCATTTTAAATAGGGTCATTTGTAATCTGTAATCGATTACATTTCCAAAATAATCTCCGCAATACTGCTTGTACATTAAGGTAGCATTCAGAAAAAACAAAACACCAATGAAGAAACACAACACAGAGGAACAGAAAAACCTCTGCCAGCTAGCCTTTCTGGAGTGTTATTGCAGAATAACACAAACAGCACGCAGAACTATAAATGCACGGCAATGCACAAGGCATGCCGTGGGTCATGCCAATCACTCAACGCAGAAGTATAAACCAGCCTTAGCAAGGAGGCTAAAGACCATGGCCTCTAGCGTCTGTCGCAGTGGGCAGTGAGCAGTGGCGTAGCGGACGGGCCCGCAGAGGGGCCCCGCGTGATTAGGTTGCCCTGCGTCGTTGCGATTTTTTTAATAATTGAACATCCGGCAACCGCAATTATCAAACCCCTGGGAACAACTGTGGTCGGAACCAAAGTTCACAGGTTTGTGTTCTCTAAACTCCTCTCAAACGGTAGACTACTTCATTCTGAGTGCTTGCCGCCGAACCGCGTCATAGCTCATTACCATAAAGCTGACTTGATTTCGAGTCGTCCTCGACGCCCACACCGGAGAAGACGCGCCACGCTGCTCCTCGCTATCGGTTCTCATTGAAAATGAATAACTTCCGGCTACTTTGACGTCGCTTGTTTGTAAACGCTACCCTGCGTCATCGCTCCACCCCGCCCCCCTTTCCCGCTCCTTAATTTATGAACGCTTCCTCGCGTCGTCGCTCCACCGACTCTCCCCGTCCCCTCAGTTTGTGATCGCTTCATCAGGGAGCCGTGTCAGTGATCCCTGCAGGGGGGCCCCCGCATTTTGCGCTACGCCACTGGGAGTGAGGTGTACTTGCGTAGCACTTCCCTTGCTGGCCTCCGTTACACATGCATTAACATGATGGCTCATTTATGGTACCTCAGCTTGTGTTAAAGGCAGCTTGTGATTGTTCTCTTTTCCCACACTTTGATTTCTTTTCTAAATACTGTGTTTTGCCCATAGCAGCAGCCTGTTTTATTATACCATCACTTCAAGTTTTATTGGCTGATTATCTTTGATGAAGATGCCTTGTTGCGAGGTCTGCTTTACGTCTTTTCTCAGCCCACACGACTATAATATTTTACTAGTAAACACTAGGCTGTGCTGTAAACAGGAGCATCTGGCATTAGCTGTCCGCACCCTCTTCTCTGAGGCGAAACAAACAATCTGTCATCAGATGATCTATTCCTTCTGCTTCTAATACTGCAGACACAGGCCAAAGTTACATCAGATTCAGGAATTTCACATACCGGAAGCCATGTTTGTTTCCTTTTTGCACCTGGAAAATGAATTGGTTTCGCATCTCCAGCTGCAGCCTGATGCTCGACTCAGATTCACACTTTGTCGGGGAACTTTGATGTATTTTTGCTGGTTCTTTTATTGTCTCAAATTGGTTCCACATTTGTTCTTTGGCAGTCTTGAAGGGTCAGTAAACATACAAACAAAGAGCTTGTTCACGTAGTGCTCGGTCATCCAGTATTGAGGATAATCATACTTTGGTCACGGTTAAGATGTGACCACTGTCGTCCTGAGGGCGAGAGGACAAAAAAAAAGCTTCTGTTCTTAAGAGTTGCTGAAAGGATAGTGTCCTCTTGAATATCCCGAGGCTCTGAGTGTTGTCTGAATGTTTTCTTTATCTGTCAGATTATTTGGGGTTAAAAGGTCTTCACAGACTTCTAGTTGTCACGCGTAGAGATTATTTCCGTTTTTGGACTCAGACCTGTTTTAAGGCATAACAGAAATATAATTCAAAGACTTAAACATAAAGGTTCTAAAAGAGTTTTTTTCAGCAGTGACACAGAAGAGCCATTAATTCATTTACTAAAAGACCTTCCACTGAAGCAGTTCTTACACTCAGAATGGGAGATGTCAATGTGGCAGTAGCTTTAAAAAAAAGTGCACATGTGTAACTAAAGAGTCCATACTGATACCTTAGACTAGAGGTACAGTTGAAGTTGAATTATTAGCCCTTCTGAATTATTAGCCCCCCCCTGTATATATTTCCTCCCAATTTCTGTTTAACGGAGAGAAGATTTCTTTTTCAACACATTTCTGAACATAATAGTTTTAATAACTCATTTCTAATAACTGATGTATTTTATCTTTGCATGATGACAGTACATAATATATTACCAGATATTTTTAAAGGTCTTATTCAGCTAAAATGGGCATTTAAAGGCTTAACTAAATTAATTACAAGCTATTGTATTACAGTGGTTTGTTATGTAGACAATGGGAAAAAAAAACATTGCATAAGGGAGCTAATAGACCTTAAAATGTTTTTTAAAAATTAAAAGCCATTCTTTTTGCCGAAATTAAACAAATAAGGCTTTCTCTAAAAAAAAAAAAAAAAAAAAAAAAAAAAAAATATATATATATATATATATATATATATATATATATATATATATATATATATATATATATATATATATATAGTAAATACTGTGAAAAAAATTAATTGCTCTTTTAAACATCTTTGCGAAATATCAGAAAAATATATGAAAAATAATTGTTAATTAATATTAATTAACAAGTAATAATTTTGACTTCAATTGTATACAGTTTATTAGTATCCAAATGTACCTAGGATGTACCTTTTGAGGTCCAAATATGGACACAATTATGCACCTTTTAAAAAGGTGAACCATTTTGGGTTCCCTAAAGAACCTTTCTATAATCTAAAGAACTTAAAACAACTAAAGAACATTTATCCACTCTAAAGAACTTGGATTGAAGGTTTCATGTAGACATTTATAATTTTTTATACACTCTCTCGTTCATTCATTGCCATTGATCATTCAATTAAAATCTATGGTAACTTTTTATTCCACAGAAGGTTATTTGGGTTGGAAAATTAGTTCTTTAGATAATACAGATAGACATTTATTTGCACGCTATAAGAGAAAAAAAGATTGGTTTAAGAATGTTCAACTGAAAAGTTGTTTGAGGAACCCAAAGATGTTCTTCTATGGCATCACATAAAAAAGGTTTCTGTAAAAAGTACTCAATAGTAAATTCTAAAAATAAGAAGAACCAGAGCCAACAGTCTTCCAAACAAGAAATTAGAATTTTAAAATTGCCTAAAATTGCAGGAACCACATGAACAAAACATTGGCATATTATCGGGTATATTTACCATGGTGTCTTAACTTGTGTTTTGTAGTTACAGTACACACACACACACACACACACGCGCATGCACGCACGCACGCACGAACACACACACACACACACACACACACACACACACACACACACACACACACACACACACACACACACACATTACAGTATAAACCAGAATAAGTGTCAGTGTAAATCTTTACCATTTTGATTATAATGATGCATCCTTGCTTAATATAATATATTCATAAATCTACATTTTATACTGATCACAATAAAGCAAACTGCATAGCCTATATTGCTTTTTGTCTGTTTGTTGTTTGACACAAAGTGAATTGCCCACCACCACATGAAACCAAGCAATAGAAAGCCAGTCTACCATTATAAATCTTTAGCTATATATAGAATAGAGAAGTGTTTTGCTGTTACTTACAAAGGGCAGATTTGCGGGATTTTTACCCTGCTTTTTTCAGATGCATAAAACTTTCCTCCCACATATGTCAGCCTAGAAACCGCCCTGAATGCTCTCAGAACTATCAAGCCACAAAAGTGGGTTGTTATGTTGATTCTGTTATAATGTTTAACATTTCAGACTGAAATGTTTGTTTTAGTCTTTGCTTCTGTTTACATGCTCTACATTGATGTTTAGATGTAGAAGAAGAGTGTGTTTGTATGTATGTAAAGGTATATATATATATGAGCGCGCGCGTGTGTATGTGTGTGCATCTGCACGCACGCTGCAAAAAAAACTAAAATCGAAGATCGGTGCTGATTGGCCGTTTGTCACCATGAAGCCACGCCTCTCTGCAGAGCATGAGGGCTTCGCGCAGAGACATCCGGTCTCTTCTGGAACAGTGGATACTTTCTAACGACCTTTTCAGTTCATGGTGTTGTTCAAAACAGTGAGTGAACAGGTGAAAGTGTGAGGTTTGTTAAACCGCCAGCAGGTCATTTACTCCGAATCACAGGATCAGCGCATGAGCTCGTGTGAAGCGCAGTGATCATGGTGCTGAAATCAGAGGATGAAATCGGTGAGTGAATCTCACAAGTTTTCATATTTGCAGTGGATATAGGTGTTTAAATATAGTAATCGTTAAAACTTCATGACGTTATTGTCTGTTGTTGTTAAACGCTATTGAAAGCAGAGGCATCGATAGCAACAGGTCTTGTCTGCTGAACGGAAAGGATAAATGGTTCCTGATTTGTGAACGAGTCATTCATTTGACTCGGATCCTGTTGTTGAATGGATCGAAGTGTTAAATAAAACCAATGTGAACGATTCGCTTACAGACTTTATGATTCACGCGCTTAGCAAGAGTTGAGTTGAAACATTTTTTTATACAAATGACATTTTATACAATGAGCATGTTCGATTCGTAAACCGATGCTTATGGGATGATTCGGATTGGTGAGAGCATATGGGGAGACTTGGAATTTTGTTAATTTGGTCTGTATAGAGTAAAAAAGCATCATGAACGTATTACCAACATTAACAATTAATTATATTGCTTGTTTGTTCTTTTGTCAAAATAAAATAATTTATTTGTCACTTAAAAAAATTCTTTTCGTAAGGAATCAGTTCATTTAGGCAAAGAAGACTTTATTTAGTTTTATATTTGCACATTTGTTCATTTAACTATCTCTCTATTGTTTAAAATGCTGATTTGAATATACAATTAGAATTAGCATATAAGTATGACTTTAACACAACATCAACACTATCTAATTGACTGTAAACTTGGCTGTACTTTAAAAGTCATTGGCTGCTAATATGATTTCCCAATTTAGATTTTGCAATACTTTTCTGAAATTTTTCTGAGAATGTCTGAATATCCGAATATAAAACAATATAAAACTTTACCTCTATCTTAAATGTTTCAACAAATATCTCTTACCTGTTTGTATTTATGTTGAGTTTAACAAACAATAACCTTCTTTAAATGTTTAAAATTTCTTATCAATATATATATATACCTTATATACCTACGCTGTTACCTTAAAGCAAGAAGGTTGTAGTTCGAACCCCAGCTTGGTCAGTTGGCATTTCTGTGTGGAGTTTGCATGTTCTCTCGTGGGTTTTCTCCAGCTGCTCTGGGTCCCCCACAAGTCTAAAGACGTGCTATAGGTGAATTGGGTTGGCTAAATTGTCCGTAGTATACGTGTATGTCCTGGTCTTCCAGGCTGGTGGTTGAGCGTTGGGCTAATGACCCCCCTCTTAAAAATTAGGTATTACAAAACACAAACATGGTGCGGCTAAATATCAACTTCATAAGTAAATATGATTATTAAGAGTAAGTAAATATGATTATTAAAAAGATTAGTAAGTGACTGAAAGACTGTCTTAATGAGTGACCAATTAAATCATTCATTGAAATAACTTGTTCCAACAGCTATTCTGCTCCATTATTTACCATTTTATTGGCCAATAATCAATAAATAAAGTTATCATATTTATTACACAATATCATCACCATCACATCATGCCAACATACTGATATTTGGGTAAAATGCATTTTTGTGATCATAATTAGATGTCATAACATGAAAATATTTATATAGATTTCAGGGTAATTTTTGCTTTTACAACTTAAATTATAATGACATGTAACTGATTAATCTTCAACAGTTAACTCATAGTACTTCTTTTGGTTGTGTTTACAAAGAAATCTATCTATCTATCTATCTATCTATCTATCTATCTATCTATCTATCTATCTATCTATCTATCTATCTATCTGTCTGTCTGTCTGTCTGTCTGTCTGTCTGTCTGTCTGTCTGTCTGTCTGTCTGTCTGTCTGTCTGTCTGTCTGTCTGTCTGTCTGTCTGTCTGTCTGTCTGTCTGTCTGTCTGTCTGTCTGTCTGTCTATCTATCTGACTGTCTGTCTGTCTGTCTTTCTGTCTATCTATCTGACTGTCTGTTTGTCTGTCTGTCCATTATCCTATTTTTGTGGATTGTTTAATCCATGGATACCGTTACCGTGGTGTTTCTTAGTGGGAAGCATTTCCCTGCACCCCCTGAAGGAGGATCAGGATGACACTCCCAAAAAAGGGGATTACTGAAATGATGCAATTAATAAACGGGACTTTTTTTAAGTGGAAAGAAATTCACAAAGAAGATTTGATTCATATGGAGTTTTTATTAGCATAGTCTTTGCTTCTCTTCTTTTTTCATTCAGATGAGTTATGCATGTGGTGAGACAGAGCCCCTCAGTCTGACATGGAACAAACAGGATGCTCTGGACTGAAATAGCACTGATGTAATAAACTCATCAGAGATGAAAAATAGAAACTGGCCCCCAATATAAAGACAGTTTAAAAAAAATTGTAAGCATTATTTTTGGGTTTACATTTAAAAATGTGATTTGTAGGTCATGTTTTAATGTTTAACAATGTTTCCAGATTACACAAAGTAATTATGGCATCATTTTACATCATTACATTGAAATGAATAATATCTACAGCAATATCATATTGAGGTGGCCGCAGGGGTCCCCCTGCTGTCTACCCCTTTAAAACTGTCACCTGCGTTTTTAGCCAATCATTATCAGTTATGTGGTAGTCCCACCCCTACAAAAACATGCGCCAATCATCGTCAGTTATTTGCACACACAGCAGAGTAAGCTAACAGAGAAAAAAATAGATAAAATTGCAAATTATTTATCAATTATATTGTCTGTAACGGCGTTGTAACTAATGTATTTGATTACTCATTCATTCATTAATTTTCTTGTCGGCTTAGTGCCTTTATTAATCCAGGTCGCCACAGCGGAATGAACCGCCATCTTATCCAGCAAGTTTTTATGCAGCGGATGCCCTTCCAGCCGCAACCCATCGCTGGGAAACATCCACACACACATTCACACACACACTCATACACTACTGACAATTTAGCCTACCCAATTCACCTGTACCGCATGTCTTTGGACTGTGGGGGAAACCGGAGCACCCGGAGGAAACCCACGCGAAGGCAGGGAGAACATGCAAACTCCACACATAAACGCCAACTGAGCCGAGATTCGAACCAGCAACCCAGCGACCTTCTTGCTGTGAGGCGACAGCACTACTATTTGATTACTCGTTACTAAAAAAAGTTATTTTGTTAGTAAAACATTTATTATTAACACCATTATTCACTGTACTTGACAAGCAAAACAAAAATGTCAGACATCAGAACAGTGTGTGTGCACTGATGCAAAGTGCTTCTTTACAACACCGCCATCTACTGGCCTGAAATGAAGAAAACAGTGTTTCTAGGGTTGGGTCGGACACCACGATGCCGAGCCAGCATTGCAATCCAAGGTTATACCACTGGATCACGTCTTTATAGTTGTTAAATGTGATATTTAAATAATTTTGTCTCTATCTAACAACTCTTTGGTCTTTTGAATCTATCAGCTAACATGTCACAGCGTCAGTGCACTGCTTCAATCTTTCACTTTCATTCTTGTACTTAGTAATTTTAGTGAAAACCTTAGATACTGTTGGTTGGTTCCTGTTGGTTGTGCACCTTTTTACTAATTATGTTTGTCGATGCCATTATAACGACACATATCACTCTGCTTATTCACGCAGAGTCCTGCGGAAAAAGTGATTGACGGGTGGTAATTTGTGTGTTTTTTATCTTTATTTGTTTATGATTTGGCTATGTGTAAAATAGGGTTGTAACAATATACCGGTATGACGGTCTACCACGATTTGAACGTGCACAATTATCATACCATGAACAATTGCATATCAACGGTTTTAACCCTTAAAGACCGAGACAGCCACCCGCGGCTAAAAATAAGTATTGCTATTAAATGTTTAATAACTTTTGATCTGCTGATCCGATTCATACAATTCAAAGATTGGCATAAAGAAGAGAATCTCAGCTTTCCAGTGCCGTATCACATAACATTCGGACTTTCAGAGGCTCCGGAATCAGTGCGGTTACGTCATCAAAATTTGACAACGCTGATTTGACAAAGAAACGCTCGTCACTGTGTCTCCGGACAAACCAGACATGATACATTGATGCATTGTCCCTCCTCCATGCCCAGATTGGTTCAAACTCGCTATATCATAACCAATAAGCATAGGTTTCGCTTTTGTTCGTGGACCAACAATGAGCTTTTTGAACAACACGGAATGAGAGATAGGCATACATTTCAGACAACCATATCCAAATCCATATCCACAGACAACCATATCCATGCTGGCACATAAAACCTAAGGATGTTCCATATTGAATCTAGTTTCGTTATGTAACTATTTATAGTATAGTAAATATTTATATCTATTTTTTTACTGAGGATTTGCACCATGTTTATTTGGACTTTGACACATTATTTATTATTTTCTTATTTTTTTATTTGTTCATTGTAAGTGGAGTTGTTTATAGTAACTGAAAATATATTATTTGGAAAAAGTCAAATTTGCTTCACTTTTCTATTATTTTGTAACATTTTTTTTCTGTTTAGTTCATTCCCAGACCTTTTTGGGCAAATACATTGTCAGTAAATAAATGCATTTTTTCCCCCATAGAAAAACCTTTGTTCAGTCAGAAAACGTGTTCTTATTCTTTTCAGGGTCTTTGCTATGAGAATTACTATTTAATACCGTATACCACGAAACCGTCAAACCGTGGTATTGTTTTAGACGATTATCATACCGTAAAAAATTCATACCGTTACAACCCTAGTGTAAAACAAAGACCATGCGGGTCAGGTAGTTGAAACGGTTTAGGCTACAAATAATGAATTCATTATGAATTAATTCATTATTCATAAATAATTAATTGACCGCTGCATGCCTACAATGACGATGCCATCGTTCATGGTGATGTTTCACATTAGACATTGTACAATGCCAAATTGGTCGACATCGCAATGTAGTTTTTAGTTTCGAGTGAACTGGGACAACAACGTTATCACGTGTATATTTGTATACATTTTTAATGGCAAATAAACCATTTATGTTTTAGTACATTGTTGTGATGTACATGTATACCCTTAAAAAATAGATCCAACAGTAATGTTGTTTTACTTAAACT